AGACCGGCCACGTGACGGGCTCTCTCGACAAGTTGCCGTCTTTATAGACAGCATGATTTCTTTTGTAGCATCGCAGTTCACTTAACTTATATTTTGACCACCACTACTGACCAAGGTTTTATTTTTCTAACGTCGTGGTTTACTTTTTTAATTCCAGCAGTTCACTTTTTCGGCGTTTTGGAAATAATAATCACTACGGAAATGTGTCCTTTTTAGAACATCATGATATATGTGTACGTGACCAAATTGCGCGTCAACTGTTGAATCAACGGTCGCTGTATACGCGTAGAACGTTCGTATTATACGCGGCCATCTTCGTGAGACCGGGGGCGAATTGGTCAATATGCAAAGTCTACTGTGAATGACGTATGGATATCCGCTATCCAGTCTTTATATAGAGATCAGTGAATGTAAAGTATGCGCCGTGAGTGGATTTACTATAGGCACAGACCGAGCGCAACCCAGACTTGGCCAAGTCTACCATAGAAATTATTCGTTATCTTGCGAGCGCGAGTGGAACACGGAATAATGTAGTGCGTCTGTGTCCCACATGCCACGAGGCCGAAGGATCGAGGAATCTAGTTTGCTTGAAGATAAAGAATAATAAGACTAGATTGGCAGTGCATACAGACGCGCGTTCTACCATGGGCGGCGCCATTTTTTAGCGCGTGGGGCATAAGTTGCGTTACGCGCACCTTTTGTCCCGTAGGTTTGTATGGAAAGACATATTTTAATGTCCGCAAAAGTGATATTTTTTACCTGTAGTAGTTATTTCTTCAACAAAATTCGAAATGGGTTATCAAGCTGAATGTTCATTTCGAAGTTTGGTCCATTTTATTTCTCGTATTTATTTCCCGTTTTAAAATGCTGGTGTGCGTTGCTTAAAAAACCCTTGCATCCAGCTCTTTGAGTGTTATTTTCTTCAACAAACAGAACAATTATCATTTTGAACGTCTTAAATCCGTAGGTGTTGCACTGTCCTTTAATTTAAAATCATGGCAACTTTTAAGGGATAACACCCAGAACATTTTTTCTCTCCATTGTCCCTCCTCAGGGTCTGTTATACGCCGTAATCAGATGCAGTTTTGTACTGTTGAATACGGGGGGGGGGGGGGGGATGCATGCCCCTCCCCAGCCCTTGAATTCACTAACTTTGGACCTCTAGTGGCGTATCCAGCATCTGAAAATCCCCAAGAAGGCGCAAGAATCTCACGATGTTGAAAAAAATGGGTACCAAAAGTAAAGCACAATGTAAATAAACTTGAGGAGTTAATTAGGTTATTCAGAAGTCTGGAACATTACGGGAGTGTAATTTAATCTCATTCTTAAAACGGTTTTCAGGGGCAATATTATTGTCATTAAAAGTCAGACATAAATAATGCAATCCAAGTAAATTGTTCTCATCCCAAAAAGATAATAATTGTAACACAAATATCTTAAATCATCCATTGAAACATTTTACAATTTTCTTAAATAATTCAACGGTAATTTAAAGCAGTTTTTACATTCTACGTTTTCCTTTTCATTGTTTAGAACAATGTCTTTATACACATTATATCAGATAAACTGACATTCATTTGGAGATTTTTTGCAACGCGCACCACAATTTTGAAACGAAAAAAATACGAGGGGAAAATAGGGCAAACTTCGAAATGACCACCAAGATTGAAGATGCATATTGAATTTTGTTGGATACATAATAACTACTGGCTAAAAATGTTACTTTTAAGGACATAAAATTGCAAGATTGTGCACAATTCTACGGGACATACGTGCGCGTAACGCACGTTTTGCCCCACGCACTACTGCGCGTACAGCGTCTATGCGGGATCCGGGAACGGGAAAAGTTCATAGATATATAGTCGTGTTCCCTAACGTGGCGCACTTCGAAGTCTACCCAACTTTCCTCGTGTAGCGTTGCCAAACCTCTTTGTTGACAAACCTCAAATTCATGCAGTAAAATACTTGTACGTTTACCTTATTAATGCTTGCTGTTTAACCTCTATGAACAATTTCGATTTCATACAATTTATTCCGAAATTCAAAAACGGTGGCGTCCGAAAATTGGGCACAAATTGGCGGAGTGTTCCCTAATGTGGCGCACTTGAATGAATCTCGGAAAATTACAAATCAACATTTGAGAATTTCTGTAACTTGATAAATTCTGATAAATCGTTATTATCTCTATTAACATACCCAGCCAGATGTTTGTCAGAAAATTATTTTCTTATTTTTTGGGGCATTTTCAAAGGGTTCACTTTGCAATTGAAAAAAACCCAGAAAATCACGCCAAAATATTTTTTTTCTTCTAAATTTGATACGGGTGAATAAACTTGCGATTAATGAACTGGAGTGTTTAGAACTTGATGAAATTTCAGTTAAAACTTTTGCTCTAGATCGGCGCTACAGGCAAAAAATCAAAGTGCACCACGTTGGGTGCCGCGCCACGTTAGGGTACATCAACGATATGAGAGCAACAGTGTTTCAAACGCGCGCGTAAAACTTCAAACGATGATTGTTGAGCGCATGTTTACTGCTGTACCGTTACAAGCTACCGTAAGACTGTTGTCTATTTGGTCAATCATTGGCTGGATCAATGCTGGTTCAGGGTCCATTTATTCGTTCGAAGCCGGTGGAGCGTTTATACCGACTCCTTGAAATATAGACTCTTTGGAAGTATTGCGCATGCATAAGTATGATAATTAAGAAAGTGATTGGTTGCGTGCGTAGGATTAACCAATAATAGGAAAAAGGAGTCCGATTTTAATAGGAGTCGGATTTTCATATGACACCGGTATTTATATCACACGTTAATACAGCCCCAAGTGTTCGAGTCTCAACCGATCAAAAGCTATCAACTCTCCAAGGTTTGTATAAATTATTAATAGCGTTATCTAGTTGAAGTGTTTACAGCACTGCATAATGATATTTCTCATATATAAATAGATTTGGGTCTACTTGACTTTTGAAACTTTGAGGGTTAGGCCAAAAAAAAAAATACTCGGTCTCTGGTCAGACCAAAGTTCAGTTGTTTGTGTGTGTGCATGTCTTTTTCCTTTTCCCCTTGCTACTCAACCCTATTTACCCTCCAGCATACCTTCTTTATCCCCAGGCAGCCTGATTAATGTGGTCCATGTGTGTACTTTTAGGCTTTTAACGTATTTTGAGAAACATTTTAATCTATTATTTTATTTATTGCCTTTTATTGAAAGTTTTAACGTGTATACTGTATGTTTATATATATTTATTTTTCTATTTTGTAGGTATTTGAAATTTTCAGTGCAAATCGAGATGGAGAATGTCATGCTGGCATGATGAATAAATTTAATTGAATTGTAATTGTATAAGTCCACGTTATTCTCCATCTGTTATCGTTGACTATGCACGGAGATCCTAGATACCGACCAAAAAAACACATTTTATGCCATGAATACTCAAGGTTGGAAGCCAAGTCTGTATAAAAATATTTTTATGCCACAAAATAAATATCCCAGGTTGAAAACCAAGTCTATGTTCGATACTGAACATCCTTGTAATATTGACTGTATACTTGCACATACTTCGATCCTAAATATGTTGAATTATAGGGTCAATGCACTTTATTGAACTCAAATTTGGATAGCGTGGATTGCAAGAGAAAAATTTTAGCCTGAAATGAAACACATGATACATGTAGATGGATGTACGAATACAGAATATTGAATACTCTTTTTATATGAGCATCGCTGTTTAAACAAACAATGTAAAGACATAAATGTACCGTATAAAATGCATTGTAATTTCATCAATATAGCATAACTAAGGATGTGTACACATGTACTGTGGAGATGAAACATGTTTAATGGCCAATGAGCACTTTACACTGGTGCTCCGCGCGTTCTGTGCATCATCATACAGTACGCACCAGGTGCACGTTAGTCACCATAATTATAAGGAGATTGTTTACCTACTTACGAGAGGATATTCTATGGCATAGCTATAGGGGTGTTTAAAAATGAAATAAAATTGTTCAACAAAAGCATTGGAAATTTATAATGTTTGACTTGTGTCAACTTTTAGAATCAAATGTATTTTTGAATGGGCATACCGCAAGTACATTTAAGACCGTATCAGGGGAATGCGCGTTGATAATAGCTCGAGCCGAACCGGCCAAACACTAAATTACGGTAAAGAAGTCACATGATTGTCTATGCTGTGGCGTGGAATTGTGGTCGATCGTGACATAAGCATGGTTGCGATTATTTTACGTCGGGATGCCACTTGTTCCAGAGAATCACACGATTTTTTATCAGTTTTGTGACCTAAGCATAAATGTTCTGCTTAATGCCGACCTGAGGCCGGCTTAACAAGTCGTAACTTGGGTTGCAACGCGTCGTAGCGTTTCGTGAAATCGGGCCCTTGACCTCCAAAGTGGGGACGAACGAATCTATGGTAAGGGATATGGACTGGCCGACACTAGAATTTACACTGTACATTGCTCACCAAGGTAGCATAAACAAACACCCTATAAATCAATAAAAAATCAAAGTCTTAATTAATTACATGTACAGTACAATTTATCAATAAATAATATTCTAATAATCATACAATAAGATCCTCATAAAGTGTCAATACCTCGCCGAAGTGAGCAAGGGAGAGTGCTCGAGTGTTTAGCAAGCGCGCGACTGACGAGCGCGCGTTATAGTTTAGCGAGCCCTCTCGCAATCACACTCGAAGAGCTGCACTTGTACCATGTGTATATGCTGCACACACACAACACGTTACGTCATGTGAAAAAGTCACAAGCTAAAGTGTCGAAAAACGCAAAATACCGTCGCAAGGACATATGAAATACACTGAAATCCTACTCACCCGGACAATAAGGGGTGGGCAGGAATTCCCTGCGGCCAGCAAGACCAGGATGGAATCTCAGAACTCAATCTCTAATGCAATTTGCTGCCGGAAACGATGCTATGTATCAAACAGATTCAGCCATCATGGAAAAAGGACAAGTAAGTCCGTGGGACGAGGCCTTTTTTTTCGCTCGTTACGCGATCTGGTTTTCCGAATTTTTTCTAATATTTCTCATTCCATTGATCAAAAATAGAAAGCGCTAACAAACCACGTTCCCGCATTCCTGGGTGGTTTGGGACTTCACAAATGAATTTTAATTAACGTCAAATTCGAGGTTACAGCCAAAAAATCGTTAGACAAATATAACGCCCGAGAGAGGATGAAAATCAACCAATAACGTGCAAGGTTTGTGTTGCGTCGCCAAAGAACCAATCAAATTGCACGTTCTATATACGTCGCCAAGAGGCGAGTCCAACATGGCGTCGTCCATGTCGTCGCGGAAGCAAGTACCGAGTCCGAGACCGCAGCGGAGACAGAAGGTGAAAATGCTCCAAAATCATCAGTTCAGTGTCTCATGCACTTTCCGACTGGAAAGGGTGAAATGCAGTTTTTCACGGAGCACAGCTGGTCACGTTTCCTTGAGTATACCGACGTCTGGAAGGCCTTCACAAAAGGACCGCAAAGTGCAAGCCGAGATAGCAAGGCACTTCATCGCCAAAACATGCGCCACGTCAGCTGGCGCAATTGTTGCTACGGATCAGCATGATCAGCCCGTCAGTATGCGGTTGCAATCTCACGATCCTAGAGAATGCCGGTCATCATCGGTGAGATACAAATCATACACTTCCCTTCACTTCGAGATTGTGTAATATCATACTAACCTACCAATCATCATCGATCATATCCATGACCAGATGACTTGACTATTTTATGATCATGATGATCGAGATAAAATAAGGGCAAGGGCATTAAGGGGGGGGGGGGGGGCAAGGGGGGGCTCTGAAAATTCATGGGCAAGATTGCCATATGCGAAGTTCACTAATTTTCCTCTGTATTGACTAACAAGCCCCCAGATAGCAACTTCATGTCATCAAAGTCAATTTGAGCAGTGAGAAAATACAATCATTTTCTTAGAAGACACTTAGAATCTTTCAGTTCACTCTCATAGGGTTTGTACACAGAGTGTTGAGTGAACTTCGTATATGGAAATCTTTCCGCCTATTGGTCATGTTGGTACTATGTAAATGTAAACCTCCACATTTTTTTTCTGTATAGGTCATGCTACAGTCAGTACACTGACAAGTCCAAGGTGAAGAGAGCAGTTCAAGCCCAGCAAAAAGAGAAGTCTTAAATTGCAGGTACATTTTATTTGTATAGAAACTGCTGCTTCCATTTCTATTCATTAACACATTTGGTAACCTTCATGAAAAAAAAACTGCAGGGGGAGGGTGGTGTGATAATCTTATACAAGTATATTTGTGAGGTGCTGTTGATAATCTCCCTCCCCCCAGTATTTATCTGATGTCTGTAACTAAGTTACTCTGGAAAACTGTTGTCATAGTTCAGTTCACCCAGTGTCCATGTGAAATGTATTTTGTTTATGAAAAAACAGTCCAAAGAGTTTAATGTATCTTTTGAAACTTTTACTTTTAGCTATAAAAACGCAATGTACGTGTAACGTAGGGAAAGGGAGTCCACCTGGGCTAGTGTACCATCCACAAATATATACATGGCCATGTACATGCACATGTGTATACCAGTATTAGGCCCAAGAACTGATAACTTTCTTTCCATTTATTTGTAATTTCGAAGAAGGGGAAGGTTTTAATGTATACTGTTGTTTACCCTCCCCAACCGACCCCCCCCCCAAAAAAAGATAATCTCACAAATTTAAGGAAGAAACATGACATATACCCTCCTGATTTTGTTTATTTGAGAGCAACACAACATTTTCATTGAAAAAATGGCCTTATTTCAATAAATACAACCAATTAAATGTTAATTACATGTTAACAGTTGAATAAGATTGTATTTTCTGTTTCTCTACTGTATTCTAGAAACTGTAACAGCCAAAAAGGTTCCCCACCCCCCTGTGAAAACGGGAAGACTCCGTTCAGCCACGCAAACGGTTTCCAAGACTGCAGCAAGATCACAACACGTTCTACCCAAACAGTGCATCCTTTGCAGGAAGGAGAAGTGTGTGACCTGCCGAGTCACAAGGAAGAGGAGGCAAGAACCCCTGGTCACATTTACTACCCTACAGGCTGAAAGATTGCTACAGGCGGCGGAAGACAACAACAATGAAGAACTTCTTATGCACATTGTCAAATCCAAAATGGATGTGCTGAGAATTGTTTCGGTGCATTTGTGTAATTGCTCTTATTGTTTATTGTATTTGACACTTATACATGTACTGTAATTGCAGAAATTCAACTGAGGAAGTGCCATTGCATTGGAGTGGTCAGAATAATTGATATCTGTGAAAACACATTTGTGTTTGTTTACAAACTGGCATTTAGAAAACTTATTTTTGTTTTAATTTCTTTTTCATGAAGGCTGTTAACCAAATTGGCAAAAAGATACATGTAACACTGCATAAGGTGTGTTTGAAGTTGTATTTAACCCTTGTGAATGTTTGATGTGGTGTATATTGGGATTTGGGGAATGGATAGGGCCAAAAAGGAAATAGTGGTTGTATCGTCGTTTAAAACAGAAGTTCAAGAAACAAATGTATACTAGATGGTTTTGAATCCAATTTTCTACTTAAAGTGGAATGCCTGCACACCTTAAACAACTTTTGTAAAGTTATCTGCTACTGGAAGCTGTTCTTTTGGGCTCTTTCTTCTGGGGAGGATCTTTGTCATTTCATTTGGAATACATGAACTCATCCTGTTTGAGGTACCTGCCGTCTTTACTCAAATTGTTCATTCAAGAAAACAACACTAACTGATTAAGATTTTTCCATCTGTGTATTTCTTTTGGCTGAATGCAGAATGTCATGTACAGCACATCAAAGTTGGAATAAAAAAGTTATAGAAACAGTATTCGGATCGTATTTGTTATTTATTGTTTCAAATCGTTCTGATCAAATTTAATCTAAATTTAAATCAATTTAAGTATGACACCTGCTCCATATTAATGATGATCTTGCGTTTCAGCTAACTAGCAGCCATTTAGAGAAGATTGACTGATTTACAGTTTTTGTGGGATATCATAACAAAGCAAATTGCAAGTTCTCTCAAAATGGATTTGTCTGGGGCTCATGGGTTTTACACATTATTCTTTCATAAAGGCTTGTCATTTACAAGATATTTTATAATGTAAGGAACTCTCTGGTTATTTCAAATTGAAATTAACTGTAATAAGCATCCTGCTTTAGAAATAATTACAAATAAAAAGGCTAGAATCTAACATTAAACAAAATGTTCAGCAAGACGGGCGAACCCGCCTCGCGCGCGCATGCATTGCGTGTAAAATGTATATTTGCTGTGTCAAAAGAGGGCGCTATTTCTTTCTTTTTTTCTCATGGACAATTCGTGCGTGTTTTTGTCGTAGAATTTCTCATTCCCAAACAATTTGTTGACCAGGGAACAACGTTTTTCTTAAATGGTACACCGTAATCTACATATCTGGCAAGTTTCATAAAATTAGGTGAACCAGATCGCCTATCTCGAAAACTAAAGCGTTTTCGGGCTCTCGTAAAGCTCCTGCGAAACCAAATATAACGGTGGGGCCGGTCATATATCCGTGCGCGGTAAAATACACAAATATTCATAATAATTAACATTATGAAATGTGCCATTAAAACAATATGGGGACAACATTCATGATAATTTGCAGGAAAATAATAGATATGAATTCCTACCCAAATGTGTTTAAATGATATTATTATAGGAAACATGGTTAAGGAACTACTTTCCCTACAGGCGTGGGAACAATAAAAAGTATACGGTGAACCAAATACTCGTTGCTATTTACGCAACAATGTAAAGGAAAATTAAAGGAACGGTGGAAGTGCATGAGCGATAATTGGGCAGATCGCCACGTTAATGTAGACAACGAAAAGAAGATGACCAAGTATGGAGCCTCGAACTGAGCTCTTTCCAGGTTAACGTCGGCAATGTCGAACTTGTCACCTAGTAGGCTATTTGCCTGTGCTAAACAGTCTACTCCGGTATTTTGTGGAAGGCATTATCGTGTTGCGGCCATCTTGATTGTTTTCCATTCAAATCAACGTGGTAACATGATCTGCGGATTATTCCTGCGGATGAACTGTTCCAGTTTATATAAATAACGATAATATTAATAATAATGACAATAATAATCAGAATCGGCATTTACGAACCCTCTTAATAGCAAACTAAATCACAGCGCTTACGAATAATGAACAATTAGTTGTAAATAAATAATTTAAGTTGAATAATAAAAACAGGTATGAATTGATTATTGGCTGAATAAATGGGCCATCAGCTTTGTGAATTGCTCGAGAGATTTGACATTTTACATAGAAAAGGTCAGAAGAAAAACTAGTTTGGTTCTATGTTGTTGTTGTTTTGGTTTTTTTTGGGGGGGGGGAGTTGAGTTGTTCTGCCCGATCTGCAATGATTTGTTTTTTGTTAAGCCTTTGCCATCTTCGATACAAGCAGATCAAGGTCTTTCTTCTTGCATTGGAGGTCATTGATGCGCAAGCAGATGGTACAAATGTATGATTATACTGTATTGGTGGCTGAGTTGTCAGAACCTCTCAGTTGTGCATCTTTATTATTATCGCCGTTGTAGAAAGAAACATAATGTAGGTTTCAATATTGTTAAACGAACATCATCACTATTTTAATATTCAAATTGTTTATCGAAGATCAATAGCAAATATAATAGGACAATGCCTTTTCGACTTATTTGCATTTATCTGTAATTCAGTGCTTTATTTAAACAGCTCAAATTTTCTGTATGTTTAATTACACTTCCGATATATACGTTTATGCATCACAAGAAATTGACAGATCTAAAGGCAAGGCAAACACGTTTCATTGACACGGTCACTCACGTCTAAGGTGACATTTGAAAATTATCGTTCACCTCGACTCGAATCGTAACTGAGTGGAAAGAGAAACAATGTTTTATTTGTAACATTTATTCAAAATAAATAATTTACTCAAGATGGGCATTTCTTCACCACACATTTCTCGTATTTCGTATTTCCTCATTTGCAAACCCTTCAGGTTTGTTGTCCTTTTTATATTGTTTACTCCAAAGGTGAACCTTACCTCAAAACTACAGCCGCCTTAAGATAATTTAAAGGGGAAAATGAAGAAGGAAAAAACAATATTAGTATAACTACCTATTAGCATAGCAATTGGAAGCAGAACGTTTGAAAGCCATGCATCGGTGAGCGAGCACATGATTATGCGAATGTGTTTCAATCAATCATGCGATCACTTTGAGTCTCTAATGAATAGAGTTGGGGTTGACTGATGCACAAATAATTGAACTATTTCAATCATTTTGATCGTAGTACAGTGTTGTCCGCGATCGGTCGAAGCTTACCAGTGATATAAAAGGCTTGGCGAGGTACGGTATTTAAGGGGCTAACAGGGATGTTATTTTTTGGGCTTAGACCAACTTCTTTTGTAAGGAAACTAAACACGTTTAAATGTGCATACATAGTTCAATTTCCTCATGCGATACAAACTGTGCAAAGTACAACGAGAATCACAGCTCATTTGTACCTAAAGGGTGATGGAGCTATTCAAGGGCGGATCGGGGGGGGGGGGCAAAGGGGACCATGTCCCCCCCCCCCCCTCCCAAAAAAAACCCCGAAACCAATTGGGTTTTTTTATGTGACATCGCAATAAAGGCAGGCAATGAGTACACCACCATCTTTTCCTCAAAAAAAAACATTGGTTAAAGTGGTCAGAAATTGCCTCAGATCGCACCACAAAGCATATAGAATCCATTTTTTTCGGGGCCCTTAAGCGGGCCCCGAACCCCACGCCGTAATTTTTTTGACCCACTTTTTTGCGGGACCACAATTTTTTTGGGCCCCCCAAAAAAATGTGTTCTGGATCCGCCCTTGGAGCTGTTTGTTGATTTCGAATTGCTGGCAACGACCTTCAGTACAGCTATTCTACTAGTTGTATGTGATAACAAGGAATAGGGGGAAAGAATAAGAAACACGCACGTGACTTCCTGGTTCAATGCCATCACACACTTCGGCACGGAGCACGCTTTGGTCGTTCTTTAGGTGAGGGCGCCCTACCGTTCACGCCTCTCAGACTACATCTAATCTTGACTTGCGTTATCTTGGGCATACTCTTCTTATGTCTGGATATGATAATGTTTTACACCAAACTGTCCTTAG